ACCCCTCTCTCTCTCTCACACACACACACACACACAGTTATTGAAACAAAGAAAAAAAAGGACTTGGCCATAGTACCTGTAAAACAGATAAGAACTTAGGTGAACATCAGCAAGAGGTAATAACGGGAATGTGGCCAGCAAAGGAGCGAACATGACCTTAGGCTGCATTATTAGAAGGAGGACTTGAGAGGAGAGGATGGTGCTCTGCTGTGGAATACCACGTTCACTGTATTTGAAAATGGACACAAACAAAAATGAAACAGGAGTAGAGGAGGCAAACCAGGATGATTAAGGGTCTAAAATTCCTAGTTTTGAGTAATTTTTTAATGGTGATGTTCAGCCAAAAGAAGACTCAGAAGGAGCATCGGGACTGTCTTCCAACAGTGATGACCCGGTAACACAGAAGGAGCTGAAAACTCTTCCCTCCAGACCCTCAGGGAAAGCTGGGGGCCAAATTTTGACTCCATACCAGAAATGACAGTCTAAATGTTCTAAGAAGGAATGGACTAGGCAGGGAGGTAGTGAGCTCCCGAGTCGTGGGGCGGGCACGGGGACCGAGGCTCCCACCTGGCCAGAGCAGCTTCCCTCCCTTTGCTGGCCAGCCGCGTCCCCAAGTCATCAACTCTGAAGAACCCGCTCAAAGACCTAAGACTGTGAAGCACGCAATGAGAGGACGTTCTCACTCCTGAGAAACCCATAGCAAGGATGGGCAGGGATGTGCGCTGGCACAACTGGCTGTGACAGCCAAGGTATCCAAAGGACATAGAAACAGAGCAGCCACATTTGTTCTTTGCCCTCACTTCTTCCCCTCTGTCATCCATTTTCTTAATTCCCATTCTTTTATCAGCAAGGGTCATAGAAAGAGCTGGATATTTAGATTTCAACACTTCAGATCAATTCCTCAAAACGTTAAAAAAAAAACAGTGACCACGTGACCCAGCAGTTGCACTCCTAGGTATCAGCTCAAGACAAACACGTACATCCACTCAAGATGTGTCTGTGTGTAATCCCAGCAGCTTAGGAGGCTGAGGCAGGAGGATTGCAAGTTCAAAGCCAGCCTCAGCAACTTAGCGAGGCCCTGAGCAATTTAGTGAGACCCTGTTTCTATAGGGTCATAGAAAAGGGCTGGGGATGTGGCTCAGTGGTTAAGTGCTCTGGGTTCAAGCCCCTGTACCAAAAAAAAAAAAAAAAGATGTGTGTCTGTGGCTGGTATAGAGAGGGAGGAGGAGGGTGGCACAGGAAGCCTTGGGGAACCAAGTCCACCACACCCCACGATGTCCATGTGCGTATATACCACGATGGATGTGCTTTTACCTTCAATTATAATGCACTGATTAAAATAATAATAATAATAATAGGAGCTCAGTAAATCAGAGCAAGCCTGTCAGGGGAAGGGGAAAGGAAAGGGAAATGAGATGGACCAAATTGTGTGCAAGTAAGAATACAGCATAAGAAATCTCACTATTATGTATGATTATAACACATTAATTAAAAATATGTGTGTGAATTTCATGGTGCATCATTCACAATAGTGAAAAAGTGAGGGGAAAAACCCAACGTGCACCAGCCAGTGAAGGAATAGCATGTTACCCACAGGACAAGACCTCAATGGCCATAAAAAGAAAGGGCACCCAGCCTGCATGGACGCGCTGGGAGAAAGAAGCCAGCAGTGGAGACGGAACGTCGTAGGATTCCACCTACGAGAAATGCCAGGATGCACAGAGCCGGAAAGCAGATGGGCGGCTGCAGGGGCTGAGTAGGGCATGGTGGGACGCGATGCCACCGGGTGCCAGGGCTTCTCCTGGGGTGAGAAGGATCTTCCAACTCCCACAACTCTGAGAGCAAACGGGTGTTCCTGAAAGGGTGCGCTAGTTCAGGGTACGTGAGTAGAGTAGCTCCACAGAACTACCATCAGTAAAACAAGCACAGAGCCCCAGACCGTTTCCCAAGCCCCGACTGTGGGTTCTTTTAAAGTTCCCAAGGTCTCTCTGTGCCTCAGTTTCCTCAAATGTACAGGGAAGATGGTAATGTTATTGCCTCACAGGGGACTCTGAAGAACACCTACAGTGAAAGATGGTGTTTTCTAAACCACAAATTGGCTTGTAAAACACAGCTATTGTTCACTTTTCAAACTACCGCAGTTTTTTTTTTTTACAGCATTAAAAAGAAGTCTGTGATTTCTAGCTCACGCTACAGATTTTAAATACTTTGAAAAAAAAGCAATACACACATTTTCTACTTTAATGAGAGAGATGATTCCCGAAAGATAAGACTGGGCAGCCTCGTTGGTAGGCCAGAGATTGTACAAGTCTATGTTTAGCAGCCAGAACTAATAAGTAGGAGAGAGAACATGAAAAAGAGCGAACAGGGAAGAGGGAAATTTCATTCATTAGAACACATTTTCTTCTTTCTCCCTTCTCACTTATGCATTCTTTTGTCTTTATCTCACTTGATAAAGTCTTGCAGATAATAAGGGCGGATTGCATTCTCTGAAGCTAATACAGTATAATGATGACTTCTGAGTCCTGAGTTCCCGCCACTATTAAAACCACGAAGCACATTCAACATATGAAAATGTATGAGTTCACATATTATCCCACATGGTCCTGCCATTGTAATGTAAATCTACTTTAAAAAGAATTTTTTTTTTCCAAAGTAGCTAATGAAATATCCAAATGTTCAATTTAGTTCTTGGTAAATTGTGTTTCTGTGGTGCACTGTGTTAATTGAATCAACATAGTAATTAACTGAATTGTATTCATTTGTATTTTCACTTAATGAGAGCCTCTTAAAATGAATGATTTCACATCAAAACATCTATTTCCTAAGTTGTCATCAGTTAAACATACATTTTGCCCCAAAGGCTATTCTTTTTTTTTTTTTTTTTCCTTTTGGTACTGAGGATTGAACTCAGGGGCACTCAACCACTGAGCCATATCTCCAGCCCTATTTTGTATTTTATTTAGAGGCAGGGTCTCACTGAGTTGCTAAGTGCCTGCTGTTGCTGAGGCTGACTCTGAATTCACCATCCTCCTGCCTCAGCCTCCTGAGCCACTGGGATCACAGGCGTGCGTCACTGTGCCGGGCTCCAAAGGTTACTCTTGCTTCAACTTTATTCTTAAGGCAAACCTCACCATGCACAATACAGAGCTAATAAGAACTTTAAAAAGTCACCCAACAATATTTGATCTTGTTTGATCTTATTGTTTGATTGTAAGGTGATTTTTCTTAAGCTGGTTTAAAAACACATCATGTTTAAAAATAAGCTTAAACTGGGTGCGGTAGGGCACGCCTATAATCCCAGCAGCTCTGGCAGGCTGAGGATCGATCGTGAGTTCAAAGCCAGGCTCAGCAAAAGCAAGGCACTAAGCAACTCAGTGAGACCCTGTCCCTAAATAAAATACAAAATAGGGCTGGGGATGTGGCTCAGTGGTGGAGTTTCCCTGAGTTCAATCCCCAGTACCTCACCCAATAAAAAAAAAACACCAAGCTTAAGAGCTGGTTTTTACTTTCTTCTAGACATATTACCAGTAAAATATCATACCAATATCTCCAGGCTGGCAATTAACAGGAAAAGGCAGAAAACCAAAACATTCATGAGTCTTTGTGTAAGCCAACTTCATGACTGAATTTCTATTTAAGAACCATATAACCAGACTCCCGAACAACTGCTCAAATAAAAATATCTACAGTCACTTTCATATCCAAGTCAAACTGTCAATGATACTACTGCCCACATACTAATTTTTGAAAGGCTTTATAGCTGGAAGTCATTTCATGTAATTTTCAGCCACATGCCCTTTACAATTAAGGCAAAGAGAATTCTACCATAAACATGTATCTTGGAGATCAAAAATAGTAATTTGGATATGATCAATCATAAGTCAATTAAGGAAATTACTCAATATATTAATTGAAGAAGGGAATCAACCTGCTGGCATCCCACCACTGGACTATCAAGTACCCCAGTGGCAACAGTACCAAATCCATTCTACCCAGCCATATGAAAATCACAAGCTGCAAACCTGTCTGAGTACACACTGTCATGAAAAAGATGATAAATTTCACCAGAGAGAGAGAGGGGGAAAAAAAAAAAAAGAAACTCAGTATACAGGATGGATCAACACACTGGCTACTTTTTACTGCTACAGTGATACCTCTTGTTTGCAAACAGGTGTTAGGTCTCCCTAGACTACAATTACAATGAAAAATCTCTCCAGTTGCTCAAGACTCTAGAATTCAAAATTATCCCGACTGCAATGTAAGCATATTCTACAAAATACACATTTTTTTCCTTTAACAAACTTTGGGGGTCCTCTGATGAAGCAATAACCCCAACATGTAAAAAAATAGGTGGTAAACTTTTGTGCATGAATTATCACACATCATGTTCTGATAATACATGCAGCGTGCTGTGAAAATCTGTTTCAGCCCTGCTAATGAGACCAGAAAGAACTCTTCCAAGCATGCAGGATTTCATATTTGTTTACACGATGCCCTATGCACAGGTAGGAATGTTTCCTTCTTGTAAAAAAAAAAAAATGCAACAAAAAACTATTATCCCGTACGCCAAATAAGACGCAGCACCCTGGAGCCAGTCCTCGCAGTCTTTGCGCTGAAAAGCTCCGGGCTGCGCGAAACGGCGGGGCTGTGGGGCGGCCGGGGCGGGTCCCGGGGTCCCTCTGCAGCACACCCGCGCATCCCGGGCGTCGGCCGGTGCCTGGGGCTGACCGCCGGGCGCCGCGTCCAGGGCGCTGCTCGCCGGGGAACGGGGCGGCCGCGCCGCCGCTCCCCCCCGGGCCGGGCCGGGCCGCCGGCCTCCCCGCCGCCTCCCGCGCTTCCCGCCGGGGTCCGAGCGCCGGCCGCGTGCGCGGGGCCCGGGGCGAGCGCGGCCCCGCGGCCCCAGCACAATGCGCCGGCGGCGGCTGGAGCGGGGCCCCCGAGCGGCCTCCACGGCCGCCGGGCCTGGCCCCCGCGCGCCGCCCGCCGCCGGCCCTCACCGTTGCAGAACTGGAGCAGCGAGGACGTGTCGTACAGGCTGCTGTAGCTCGAGAAGCCGTCCTCCATGCTGAGGCCGCGGGCCGCGCCCGCTCCCGGCCGGCCGCCGCTCACCCACACACTGAGCCGAGCCGCGCCGCGGCGGCGCTGGCGCTGGGGCCGGCCCTGCTGTGGCGGCGGCTGCCGCCGGTCACCATGGCAACCGGCCCGCCGCCGCCGCCCGCGCTGCCCGCGCCGCCCGCCAGGGGGCGCCTCGGCGGCGCGGGGACGTGGCGGGCGGGCGCGGCGGCTGCCTCCCGGCCCGGCCCTGCAGCGGCGGGCGGCCTCCCGGGGACAAAGGGCGAGGCCGCGAGCAGGGCCGCGGGACCCTGCCCACGCTCGGCGGACGCGCTGTCGTCGCGCGGTGCGCAGCTCCGGGACCCAGCGCGGACAACTGGCCGGGCGCCTCCCCGGGGCCGCGTCCTCCGAGCGCGCCCTCGCCGCCCGTTTCCCCCCGCGGCGGGCCCTGCCTCGGCCAGGACAGCGCGCAGCTGCCACCCTCCGCGGCTTCCCACCCAGGGCAGCCCGGCCCCGTGACAGTCACAGCCTCGCATCTGCCTTCATTCAGTCAGGGCGAGGCCGAGAGTCAGGACAAAATAACTAACGTAGCGGGAGAAGCGCGCCAATCCGCGAGTTTGCAACTTTTCCTGCCCCTGTTAATGCTAGGTCAACCTTCTGAGCTAACCACCCACGGCCAGAAGTGAATGACAGTGCGGGCACTAGCGGTGAGGGGGCTCTAACCCCGATGGACTTGGTCCAGAAGCGACAGTGTGACGTTTACACCTCTGATGCACGACCACTCATCATTGAGTTATATGGGCAAATCTGAAGTTTTAGGTGTGAACTTGTGTAAGTTGAACATAGCGGGGGATGTATGAGCTATTGTTAGGAAACTTTTGGGCCTCCCTAGGTCTGGAGGCCTGTCTTTCTGGAAGGTACTAGAGTAGATATCAGTAGATGGCAGGGTGGGGGACGGGGTCTGTCACTCTGTGTGTGGCCCATTTAGTTTATGGGGTAACCAGGCTGCTGTTAGGTGCTACAGGCAAAGGGGGACATTTAAAGCCTGTTCTTTAAGGAAAATAAGGATTGTTGACAAGGGACAATATATCGAGGATAAAGGCTGAAAGACCTAGGTGGGTGAAGGACAGTGGGCAGGACGTGCTAAGGATGTTGCAGGAAAGAAAGCCGCAGGACCTGCAGACGGGCCAAGAAGCCTGCCCTGCCTGGTGGAAATGGATGGCTCATGTAGCAGACATTCACAGAATGAGATTGGACTGAGGGCCAGGGGCCAGGGGAGAGAGTCCCAAGAGCCAGAGGGAACTAAACAAGACCCTGCAGGAGATGGAGGGCTATGTGGAGGTTTTCATGGGTGCACATGCTGATGAGAATGGGGCTGGGAGCTGAGTCTGTGTGTGACCTGGACACCAGGGGTCAGGGACTGCTGCTGGAGCAGCCCAGGGTGTCTTGAGTGTTCCAGAAATGAGCACTGAGGGCCTGGACAGAGGAACCAAGGTGGGCCTGAGGGATAGGCAGGGACAGCGAAACCTCCAGTGAGGAGTGCCCTGTGGCAGCTGGAGTGAGAGGGTTGGGCTCTAGGAGTCCTTGGCAAAGAGTTGTAAGTGAATTCTCTAAAGGAGAGAGTGGAAAGTCAGAGGGGAGCTGGGGCAGAGCTTGGCAAGGGGGGGGGGGGAGAAGGAAATTCCAAAGGAGCAGTTGGAGAGGCCAGAAGTTCCCCGGAGGATGTGGTGCAGGAAGCTGAGAGCACAGACAGCTTCCGGGGGTGGGTGCTTGGCAGGGTCCTCTGCAGAGGGCCAGGGAGGATGCAAATGGGGAAAGACCCTTCATCTGGTGGCAAAAGGCTCCCAGTGACCTGGAGCATCTCAGGGAGGCAGTGGGAATGGAAACCAGGTTCCTGGATGCCAAGAGGAGGACACATGTTTGAGGACTTCAGCAGGGAAGGGAGATGAGAGCCCAAGACACTTGGCAAAAGGGCCAAGTAAAGGTCCCCCTGTCCCCTGCATTTCTAAGAGGCAGGTGCTGTGCAGAGAGAGCTTCCAAAGGACGACATGGAACACGATGAACATTCTGAGTTTGCCCTCCTGTTTTCTCATTTGCCACCCTTCCCCTCTTCGGTGCCCATCTTCACAGTCTCTGCTCAACCTCCCAATCTCGAGCTTCAGGATCCCGGGGAGGGTTGGCATAAGCCGGGCGTGGCATTTCTGAACTAGGAAGGGAAATGTTAACTATGAATACATGATTAAAAGTTGCTTCTTGGGCTGGGGCTGGGGCTCAGAGGTACAGTGCTCGCCTGGCATGTGTGTGTGAGGTGCTGGGTTTGATCCTCAGCACCACCTAAAAAATAAAGAATTGTGTCCACCTATAACTACAAAATAAATATTTTTTAAGAAGTTGCTTCTCTTTAGCGACTTTTAAAAAAATATTTATTTTGTATTCCTGACTTTGAATGGTAAAAGAATACTATCTGGTCACCACAGCTGAGGTTTGGAAGTAAAGAAAATTCAGAAGTGGGAAAGGAAAACTCTGTTTAAAAGTTCAGCTGCAAATTTGAGCTGGAGATTTTCTTAGAAGATATTAATTCCACTAGAGTGGAATTACAAGGAAGAACTCAGTCCACTTGCTTTTGAGTCAATAAAGATCATCATTACACTCAACCTAGGGTATCCAACAGCTGTGTTTTTCCCACAATGATAAAACCTTAGGCTTAAAAAAAATTAGAATCATTTCAAGCATGTTAACATTAAGTCAATTAGGTTCAATCTACATGACACTAAAAAAAGAATTCATGGAGAAAGTTCAAGAAAAATCTCTGAAGATTTAATTAATAATGTGTGATATTTTTCCCAATTATTTTAACAGACTGTGATTCCACATCATTTTGAGATAATTTGTGGCCTAAGCCCAGAAAATGTTGTCATTGTAATAAATGATGTACACTCTGTAGGACAATGTAACCATAGTGTTCAGTGGAATTAATAACAGCATTTGTATAATGTGTGAAAAAAGAGAAAAGGAAGTAGGAGCTCTGTAACATTTACTCATAGAGCAGCAATAAAAAAAAAATTACTCAGAAACATGAAGCCTTGCACATCTATTGTTTAATGCAACAGGCCTCCAAGAACAGTTACACAGTGCCAGACACCAGGCTTGGGGCCAAAGGTGCAGCACAGAAAACATGGAGACTTTCCAATTGCAGGTGGCCATGAACTCAGGTTATAGGGGTTGTAATCAGCACCTTAAAAATGAAATAGAAAATTCCACTTCTGGGTATGTTCTCAAAAGAACTGAAAGCAGAGACTTCGTAGATATTTGTACACCCGTGTTCACGACAGCATCGTGCACAGTAGCCCAAAGTAGGAGTAAACCAAGTACACTCCAATGGACAATGGGAGAAGCACAAGTCGGGAGAGCCGGACCACGGAACATTCCACTTTTAAAAGAGAGGGCATTCAGACACATGCTATGGCATAGATGAACCTTGAGGACATAGTGCAGAGTGAAATAAGTTGGTCCCCAAAGGACAAATGCTACAGGACTCCACTTACATCAAGCTCTGAAAGTAGGCAAATTCATAGAGATGGAAAATAGTATGGTGGGTACCGGGGGCATTGGGGAGATGGAATGGGGACAGAGTTTCAGTTTGGGATGATGAAGAAGTTCTGGAGAGGGATGGTGGCAATGGTGGCCCAATGATGTGACTCTGCCAATGCCTCAGAGCTGTACCCTTAAAAATGAATGTAATGGTCAATTTTATGTACTCTGTTACCACAATTTAAAATTATGAAATGGACTGGAGAGTTGCCACGGGTACTAAACATAGTAAGAACACATATTTTTACTTGGATTGTGAGTCTTTCCTTTAAATGCAGCTACCTGGGCCTAGTTGATATTTAAAGCATGTTCCCCCAGGAATATGCAGAGGCATGCTGATGGTAAAATAGATACATAATTACAAATAATAAGTGCTATGAAACAAAAATGGAAGGATTCCGGTAGTTCTGGAGAATCCGAATTGGCCTGAGGAGGAAATTGAGGGACCAGAGGGGAGCACTGAGCTGGGTAGTCCACTTCTGGCAGATGAAGGCACCGAGGAGCCCAGGACTTCACTGTGGCAGAGGGGGCCTGCTCACAGGAGGGCTCAGAGATCCTGTTAGGGGCTGTGGTTTCTCTCTAAGATCAAAGTTGACCTTCAGTTAGTGTTATGGGCTGAATTATGTCCCCTCCAAATTCCTGTGCTGAAGTCCTAACCCCCAGGACCTCAGAATGTGACCTATTCAGAGATGGGGTCTTTACAGAGGCAATCAGGTAAAAATGAGGTCATTATACTGGGGCATAATCCAATGTGACAAGTGTCATGAGAAGGGGAAATGTGGACGCAGACAATTTCTCAAGGAAGAAAGATGGTGGCCAGGGAGAAAATTGTGTCTACAGACAAGGAGGGGGGCCTGGACCTGGTCCTTCCGTTGTACCTCTGAGATACTAACCTTGCCCACCCCTTGATCCTGGACTTCCAGCTTCCAGAAAGACAGCAAGTGCCTGTTGTTCAACTGCCTAGTCTGTGGTCTCTTGCTCCGGGAGTTCTAGCAAGACCATACTGTTAGCATAGAATCTCAAAACCAAGAACCAGCAATGCCACCTTTCATTACTGATATTAAAATATGAAATATGCTTTCTCATGATGAATCATCACTCCACACCGTGAGAGATGATCACCAATTCTTAGCACTGATAAGGAGCATTAATCCCTGTGAGGTCCCACCTGCCTGCCAATGCAGCTGTCGTTTCCACGGCAACCCTGACAAGTGGTCACTCAGCTCCTTTCACAAGTGGAAGAACCTCAATGATTAAATAGACTGTTGCTTATTTTTAGCCCAAATCGTCCTTGCCAAAGCATCCTTTGTAGGTCCTGCTTTTGTCTGGTCAATTCGATCTCCCTCTGCCCTGGTTCAAGTTTTCATCTATTCTGAAATGTTGCGATGGTAGTCGGGGGCCTAAGCCCCCAGCTCAGCTTCATTACTCAAGAGTTAACTTGCCCAAAGAGACAAGTTACTTGATGTCATTTCATTCTCTGTTGCCTACTATTAAGTGCAAGCATC